GCTCCATCCTGCCCTCACCCTGATTTTGTATGTTTCACTACTTTCACATTGAACTCCCTTCATATCCTTTCACAGCTCAATGTCTCCATGAAACACCCTAGATTTTCTTTATTCTTTTATGGGATGAGGGTGTGACTTACAAGGTCAGTGTTTGTTATTCATCCCCAAAGAAAACCTACTCCCACCAAACTGCTGATCACCCAATGCCCTCTCCTAGTCTGCATGTTAGACAAAATTGTGAATGAAACTTTCCCTTCAGGTGTTATCCTTGTCTCCTTTGAAATCTACCATCAAATTCGCTGAATAAAACTACCTTTTGACTGTACATTCTTTACAAACCACTGCCCTGATCTCCAACCTCCCTTTCTTCTCTAAGCCCCACAAATATGTTGTCACCTTCTAAATCTGTGCCTTCCTTTTCTGAAAGCCAAAGTTTGAATCCCTGCCATCAGGTTTTTCTCCCTACCTTGGAACTGACCTTAGTTTTAAAGTCTATAGGTGTGAGGCTAGAAAAGCACAGTAGGTCATACAGCATCCGAAGAGCAGGACAGTCAACGTTTCGGGCCGACTGTTTTGTATGTTTCGGCCTGAAACGTTGACTTTCCCGCTCCTCGGATGCTGTCTGACCTGCTGTGCCAAAGACTGTGGCTTCCAGCATCTGCAGTCCTTATTGTATCAAAATCACAATTTACGACTATAACAATTGTAAAATTTCCTCTCTTGTGCTTTTTGACCTGTCTGCAGCTTTTTTAAAATTCATTCATGGGATGAGAGTGTCACCAGCTTGGCCAGAATTTATTGTCCATACCTAATTGCACAGAGGGCAATTAACAGTCAACTACGTTGCTGTGGGTCTGCAGTCATGTGTAGGCCAGATCAGGTAAGGATTCCTTCCCTAAAGGACGTTAGTGAACCAGATGGGCTTTTCTTGACAGTCGACAGTGGATTCATGTTCATCATTAGACCCTTAATTCCAGATTTGAATTCAAATTCCACTATCTACCATGGTGGGATTTGAACCCAGCTCTCCGGAACATTTTCTGAGTCTTAGGATTAACAGTCCAGCGATAATACCACTAGGTCCATTGCCTCCCCATTTGACACAGTGACCACCCACTCCGCTTCCAAGTTCTCTCCTCTAACGTCCAGGTGGGTGGAATTGCTCTCAACAGAGTACATCCTTGCTGTCTCACTGTAGCCGACCAATCATCTGTAATGGTTTCTCTTCCTGCTCCCATGCTGTTCCCTCAAATACCCTGCCAGATCTATTCCCATCTGACAGTGGACATCGCTAGCTGGGCTTGTACCTATTGTCTGTCCCTAGTTGCCCTTGAAAAGGTGGTGGGCTCTCTTCTAGAACCGCTGCAGCCCATGTGTTGTATGTTGACCCACAATGCCTTTAGGGAGGGAATTCCAGGATTTTAACCCAATGACACTGAAGGATTGGTGATATCTTTCCAAGTCAGGATGGTGAGTGACTTGGAGGAGAACTTGAAGGTGGTGGTGTTCCCACATATCTGCTGCCCTTGTTGTTCGAGATGGAAATGGTTCTGGGTTTGGAAGACTTGGTGATTTGTGACAGATCGTCATGTAGATGATACATGCCGTTGCTACTGAACATCAGTAGAGAAGGTGAAAGTGGTGAATAAGGTGTTAATTAAGCAGGCTGCTTTGTCCTGGATGTCAGTCTTCTTGAGTGCTGTGAGAGCTACACTCATCCAGGCAAGCTCTGAATATTCATCACACTCACAACTTGTGCCTTTTGGATGGTGGACAGACTTTGGGAAGTCAGGAGGTTACTTACTCGCTGCAGTATTCCTAGCCTCTGACCTGCTCTTGCATCCACTGCATTTATATGGCTAGTCCAGTTCAGTTTCTGGCCAATGGCAATCTCCAGGATGGTGATAATCGAGGATTCAGTGATGGTAACACTGTTGAATGTCAAGGGGCGATGGTTAGATTGTCTCTTATTGGAGATGGTCATAGCCCAGCACTTGCATGATGCAAATGTTATTTGCCACCTGCCAACACAAGCCTGAAATGTTGTCCAAGTTGTGCTGCATTTGGACACGGACTGCTTCAGTATCTGAGGTATTGGAATGGTGGTGAACATTGTGCAATCATCGATGAACATTTCTACTTCTGACCTTATGAAGGAGGTAAGGTCATTGATGAAGCAGCTGAAGATGATTGAGTTACGGACATTACCCTGAGGAACTTGTGCAGAGATGTCCTGATGCTGAGATGATAGACCTCCAACAACCACAGCCATCTTACTATGTGCCAGGTATGACTCCAACCACCGGAAAGTTTGCCCCCGATACCCATTGATTCCAGTTTTGCTGGGGCTCCTTGATGCCACACGTGATCAAATGCAGCCTTGATGTCAAGGGCTGTCACTCTCACCTCACCTCTGGAATTCAGCTCTTTTATCTAAGTTTGAACCAAGGCCATAATGAGGTCAGGAGCTCAGTGGCCCTGGCAGAACTGAAACTGAGTGTCACTGCACAGGTTATTGTTCAGTAAGTGATGCTTGATATCATTGTTGAGGACATCTTCCATCACCTTACTGAAGATTGTGAGTAGACTGATAGGGCAGTAATTTGCTGAATTGGATTTGTCCTGCTTTTTGTATACAGGACATACCTGATCAATTTTCCACATTGTCGGATAGATGTCAGAATTGTAACTATTGGAAGAGCTTGGCTAGGGGAGCTGCAATTTCTGGAGTACAAGCCTTCAGTACTATTGCCGGAATGTTGTCTGGGCTCGCAGCCTTTGTAATATCCAGTGTCACTAACTGTTTCTTGATATCACATGGACCGTGAGGACTACATGTCGGTTCCACTGTTTTGAGATCCTAAGCTCTTCTGCCCAAAAGTCCCTATGACATCATCATAATGGGGTGCTTATCCTCAGCATTAACCCTTTTAGACCAATACAGAACGACACACCTACCTCTACCTCACATCATGTTGCTAAATTATCAGGCTGCTAATTAAGTAGGCAAAAAGTTGGCAAATAGAGTAGTGTGAGAAAGTGAGAAGTTGTTCATTTTTGAAGGGACAATGAAAGAAAAGAGTATTATTTGAATAGAGAAAAACTACAGAAAGCTGCAACACAAGGGGACTTGGGGGACCTGTGCATGAAACCCAGAAAGCTAAAATACAGGGGCAGCAGGTAATCAGGAAGGCTAATGGAATGTTGGCCCTTATTTGAAGGGAGCTGGAGTATAAGAGTAGGGAAGTCTTACTGCAAGTGTAGAGGGTTCTGGTGAGACCAATCTGGAGTACTGGAGCAGTTTTGGTCCCCTTCTTGAAGGAAAGCTATTGATTTATTGGAGGCTGTTCAGAGAAGGTTCGCATGATGATTCCTGGTATGACGGGATTGTTGTATGTGCAAAGGTTAAACAGGTTGGTACTCTACTCACTGGAGTTTAGAAGAATGAGAGGTGATATCATTGACACATGTTGAATTCTTAAGAGACGTGACAGAATGAATGCTGAGAGGATGTTTACCCTCATGGGAGAGCCTAGAACCAGAGGGCACAGTGTCAGAATAGAGGGGCACCAATTTAAGACTGAGATGAGGAGGAATTCCTTCTCTCAGAGGATTGTGAGTCTTTGGATCTCCTTGCCATTGAGAGTTGTGGGGCAGAGTCCTCGTGTATATTTAAGGCTGAGATAGATTCTTGATCAGTCAGGGAATCAAAAGTTATGGTGAAAGGGCAGGAAAGTGAATGTGAAGAATGTCAGATCAGCCATGATCCTACTGAATGGCAGAGCAAGCTTGAGGGGCTGAATGGCCTACCCCTGTTCCTATTTCTTTTGGTCATCAGTGCTGAATGAGCAGAAATTTCTTCCAATTAAACATAGAAAGACTGATCCATGCTCCAAAATCCATTACCCATGTACTGACTTTTTCCCTTATCCTGGTAGCAATCTGAGATGTTACCAAGTTGTTCAGAGTATTCAATTCTTGAGAAGAGCTGCTGACCATACATTTAAGCCAACTTTTAAGATTGTCTATTTACGCCTCTATAACATCACCAGACTTCACCCTGTCTCAGTTGAGCTGCTGCTGAAACCCTCATTCATGTCTTCATCACCTCAAAATGACATTTGGACTCTGATAGGTCTCTTGAAACTATGATAATTGAATCTGTCTTGGATGAACACAAAGCAATATTCAAATTAAACAAAGAATTTTGAATTTACAGTCCCAGTCCCTTGATCTTAATGAGCTTGTTCAATTCAAATTGTTCAATGTAATGAAATGTACAAATCCTGTAGACTAAAAATTATACATTACATTTGAGCTACAGTCACTTGTAGAACTTGACTTTTGCTGAAGAGAGGCGTGCTGGCGAAGCTTTTCTCTTGCACTTGCAAGATAGATGCAAGAATACCAAATTTTAAAGGGAAGAACAATTTATACCACTAACTAATCAGTTCCCTGTTTCTACGATTGTAGTATAAATTGAGACGGTTTGTAAACGATGTTGATGTCTGACAAAGAGATTTCTCCCATTTCTGAGCATGTTTGTGTTCCAACTCTAGACTCCACTGATGTAATTATTTGGTTATTCTCTTGTTCTTTATTGGATATTGCCACTTGCCAGCCTCCCTAATTATCCTTGGAATGAGTAATCCGCTTGGCCATTTCAAGGGGAAGTGAAGAGTTAACCACATTGCTGTAGGGCTGGAGTCAGACCACATAAGGACAGCAGATTTCCTTCTCCCTAAAGCACATTAGTCTGATTTTTTTTGACAACACTCAATGATAGTTTCATGGTCACCTTTACTGAGGCTAATATTATGTTCCAGATTTAGTAATTGAATTTGAAATTGCTCCAGCTGCTGTAATGGGATGTGAAGCCACGTCCCCAGACCATCAGCCTAAGTTTTTGGATTACTAGTCCAGTGATATTACCATTCCTCTACCATCCTAACCCATCCACTCACTGCTCTCTCAAAGACCAAGTAGGAGGTTTATTTTACCAATGTTATCAATGGAGAAGCAGCGTTTATCGAAAGTGATGTTCTGATCCTGAATGTCTGATTTAAGCTGTACACAATACGAAATCCAGATGGAGGTGTAGGTTTGGTTGAAATAGCAGGCGTTTTCATTGTGCATGTATTTGGGACATTCTTTCCAGTCAGCATTATTCCTGAAGGAACATTAATCTGTTAGTGTCTTTGGTAAATAGGAATCATTCCAAAACATTACACAATTTAGCATGGACTGATCACTGACTATATTTTCTTATAAGACAGAAAAGACTAGATCCTTAATACATAGAGAATTGTTAATGCACACAATATAAATTTCAGCAGAGCAATCTGCAGGCACCAGTCCTCAGATATCTGCATAAAATACAATCAAATATAAACTGCTTCCATATGTCAGTCTTAACATTCATTCCAGATTTCTTACCCTTCTTCCCACTAGAGTTATTGGGACTGTTGCTCAGATTCAATGAGTATCAAGGTTCTCTTAATTTGAAACAATATTTTGGATTTATACATTAGCCAAACTGTTCCAGTGTAGCTACAGCATTAGCATTTACCCAGTAATGTGCAGAATTGCCCAGGTATGTCCTGTACACAAAAAGCAGGACAGATCCAACCTGGTCAATTACTGCCCCATTAGTTTACTCTCGATCATCAGTAAAGTGATGGAAGGTGTCAGTAACAGAGCTATCAAACAGCACCTGCTCAGCAATAACCTGATCTGTGATGCCCAGTTTGGGTTCCACCTGGGCCACTTGGTTCCTGAGCTCATTACAGCCTTGCACCAAACATGGACAAAAGTGCTGAAATCCAGAGGCAAGAGAGTGTGACTGCCCATAACATCATAAGACATAGGAACAGAATTAAGCCATTTGGCCCATTGAGTTTCTTTTGTAATGATCCTTTATTAAAAAAAAGTCAGAGAGCTTTTCTGAAATGATGACTAAATCCAGCAATTCTCATTGAGTAGACCCCTGTGATGTGAATGGAAAGATGCTTCTCCAGTTAGGTTTACAACATGTAGACGATAAGACCATAAGTTATAAGAGCAGAATTAGGCCATTCAGTCCACTGAGTCTGCTCTGCCATTCAATCATGACTAATATGTTTCTCAACCCCATTCTACTGCCTTCTCCCCATAACCCTTGATCCTGTAACCAATCAAGAGCCTATCAATCAGAGATAGTAAGAACTGCCGATACTTGAGTCTGAGATAACACAGTGTGGGGCTAGATGAACACAGCAGGCCAGGCAGCATCAGAGGAACAAGAAAGCTGACGTTTCGGGTCGGGACCCTTCTTCAGAAATGCGGGAGGGG